CTATGTAGGCTACAATTTCAATTTGTTTATTGTGAAATAACTCAAACATTTATGTTTTTTTATTCTGTCCTCTGATAAGCATTGTTCAGGGCTGCCGTTCCCAAAAGCTTTAATGCTTTCTTATGATGCTTTTGGGAAACACAGCCCTGTTTGAATGCACTGTCAGCAGTGAGTGAACGCTCTCTGTGATTGATTAGTTCTGTCTTGCAACATTTGCATGTTCAGATGAGCAGGAAAATAGTTCTATCCTACACAATTACTCGCTAACAAAGGTTATTCGTCCAATTCAATGCATATTATTATTATTATTATTGTTGTTAAATAAACAAAACCACTGGTAAATAAAGCGCACCTTAGTATTGCCCATCCCTGAACTAGGGATGGGCGTATCGATCCGAAGTATCGATACTGACGCGAGTATCGAAAGTATCGATACTTCGGATCGATATGCCCATCCCTAGTTCAGATGTTGATGTTTTATTGAAAGTAAGAGTTTGGTTTGAAGTCACCATTAAGGTAAATAACGTTTGCTTTAATAGACCCCTTGACTCTTATGCTACTCTTTATTTTTTGAAAAAACATACTTAAAAAACACTTACAACCAAATGTGATCAGCTGATATTGGTTGTTAGGTGGAGGTCATTTAGTTTTAACATTTATAAAACAGTTTCTCGAGAACACATCAATGTTCGAAACAGGCTTGTTATTATCAGTAAATTAAGTTTTCACATTATTAATCTTCAGAAATAAATTATCAGATAATCTGAATTTAGGATAAAAAAGAAAGTGTCAGATTTTTCCGACACACAGACCTCAAGAATCAGTGTATGAATCTCAACAACGGTGACGCAATTCATGCTGTAATGCATGCTGAGAGCCATGGAAGACTTTAGTGTGTTGCACCCAGAATGCAATGCAAATCATGTCACGGTTGTTGAGATTCATACTTTGATTCTTGATGTCTGTGTGTGTTTAACTAACACAGAACTTCAAAACATTTTGTAATATATCAATATATATATTTTAATCAGAGGTGTGAAGAATATCTAAAAACCGTACTTGAGTGAAAGTACAGATACCTTCCAGTGAACATTACTCCACTACACGTTACAAGTCACCAACTCCAAAACAACTTGAGTAAAAGTCTTAGAGTATCTGATTTTAACAGTACTTAAGTATTTTACTTATACTAAATATAGGCTCAAAGATACACTACTCAAAGAGACATTCCAGTGAAAAACTGTAACGTTGTGGAGAAGCTGCAGAAAACAGGCAGAGGCAAGGATCTATGTGCAGGTATTTCATGGAAAAACTAGAACAAACAATAAGCCAAAAACCAAAATTTTAATATACTTTTGTACCATTAATATGTTCACTCATATTAAGTCTTGGTAATGTGAAAGCGTTACTTAAACCATTATATATTAATCTCTAGACTAACAAACGCCATTAAAGCAGTCAGAAAAACTCATATCTCTTGAGGGTCAGCCCGACAACTAAAATTAACGCTATTCTCTATAATGGTGACAAATATACTTTTCAATAAAACAAACCTCTGTAATTCTCCAAAACTTTTGTAGAAGTCTGAAAGATATAACATCAGTCTGGTTAGTAATGTGTGAAGCTGGTGCTAGAGTTGTTTAATCTGCTGAGATCTTCAGAGATTTAATGTCTTTTATTTGCAGTTGTTTTGCAGGCTGTGGCTGGAGGTCAATAGTAGCTGTTGTGTTTCTGCTCATCTCTTTTTTTTCTTAAGCAGGTGTTCGCCACTAATGCTCAATCAGTACTAGATCAATCACTTAATTATCTAATGAATTACAGTGCTGCTTCAGTCTTATTTTTGGCACTCTGTAGTATGCATACTGAGCAGTGCTCATTGTTTCATCTGGGCTGACCTCATGGAAACTGAGGACAAAACTGGCTGGGCCCCACATGTGTTTACTGGCTGGGGACTTTATTTTAAGAAAGGCAATGATTGCTTGCATTATAGAACACATTTTATGAATGCATTTTATTGTATACGTTTAAGTGTATGCATTTACAGTTACACAATTGTTAACTGAAAATTCAACATTAAACATGTAAGACCATATATTTTTCCTGAGGCTTCCCCTGCTTGGGAGAAGAAAAGAGAGGGGAAGAAAACACTACTGCCACACAGTGGTCTAACAAGCATATGAAAATTAAAACAAACGCAAGAACAAGAATACATTACATCATAGGACTTAACAGTATTCTATGCTATTTGGTATAGTAAAATTTGAACTAGACATTTATTTAGTCAAATAAAATGGTAACGTTATTGATTGTATTAATAATATGTTTTGACAACACTTTACTTAAAGCCTTTATCTATGCATTATAAAGAGTTATTAAAGTTATAACACATTATAATTACTGATAATGTGCATTGTAATACATTATACATTGTCGTAAATAATTGTAAACAAATTTAAAATGCATAGTGTAGCAATGAATTGATATGTGTTATAATGTATTAACTGGTTACAGTTATTCATGAGATTGTGCAATGCATTATAAGGTGCATTACAAGGCATGATTAATGCATTAAACTAATGTTATAATGCATTATACATAAAGGCTTTAAGTAAAGTGTCACCTATATTTCTTTCAGACTGTACTGCACATTCTGCCTGAACACACTTGCTTGACACTGACAATTATGAAGACATTTTTTTTTCATAACCCCGTTAAGAGAAAAACAGACAATAAAACACAGTGTTGGAATAAAATGTAAGTTTTATTAATGTAGCAATGTAAACCATCCAAAAATTGTAATGTCTCAATGAAGGTCCACATTTAAAAAAGATACAAATCATTTTCTTCACTTAGAATCTGATAGAAAGTTTGTAAAACTTTTAAAAGTATATTGTCATATTATTATTCGATTACACACATTGCAATGATGATAAATTAAACCAATGTAATGATAAAATCCATTTTAAAACCCCAAGAACAAAACAAAAAAAAAAGCTGCTACTTCACAATTTAACTTTACTTTAATCATGTCTTAATGTTATGTAAATCAAATAAATAGCAAGAAGTCTGAATCCATTTGATGGGTTCCATGCAAAACCACAACAAGCACCACAGCACAAAAGCCAAAAGCCAAAACTGAACTGTAATTTAGATATATAGTAATTACCCTCTAGCTACATATATATGTCCTAGATATTTTGTGTAGACTTACATGATCTATATGCTTTTAAGAGCAGATAAAATAGTCGTTTGGTGACTCTTATGTTCTGTTTTCAGCATGTCTTGGTGGTTCAATATGCTCCTTCTCCTGTAATATAACAAAATAATAATATTTAAAAATGACAATTGACATACACAAATTTGAGAATATGAATGCTCTAATAATATGTTATCTTGTTAGCACAATAGGTGTTACCAGAGTCATCATCTAAAACAGGCCCGAAATGAATGAAGGTGCCTCTATTGTTTGTGCACCATTCATGAAAGTGTTGCTCAGCTTTCCTCTGAACCCTCTGATCCATGTTTGTACAGTAAACTCTCACAAGCCTCTCATGAAACTGCACTGGCTTCAGACTGGACACCTGAAGAGTAAAAACTCAATCTATTTATGATCTCTCATCATGACATGAAAGCTATCTGATAAAGCTGTTCCTACAGATGAATGTGTACCTGATACGACTGAATCCTGAAGGCTGTGTTCGGGTCCTTCTTGTTGTAGAAATAGACATTGTCAAGGAGGTTTCCTCCTACTATACCAAAACCCATGTCAAGAACCTGAAAGAGAATCCAAGTTAAACTATGAGGAAGAAGAGATGCAGAAAATATTTTTATTTTTTTATACATACATAAATTTGGAAGTGCTGTGCATTCAGGTTGTTGTCTCTGCACATGTCTCTCCAGCTGTCCGTCACATGATTCTAAGGAATGGTAAGTTAAAAATACACATTGCTTTTAAACATCATAATACTGACACAAAGGAAAAGATAAAAGTATGCTAAATTAAATGCTAAAAGAAAGTAAAATGATAAAGTCAATTATATTCTTTATCAACAGTTTTTGTAATGCAGCATGCTGTTACGATATCTGTGTTTGGAGAGTTTGGACAGTTTTAAGACATTGTACTGAATCTTCAGAAACCTGATTCCATTAAGCCTCTTCCTTCAGTCGGGCCTCTCCCACAAACTTTGGTAGACGTCTGTGGACGATGTCCTCTAGGATGCCTCGAGCCTCATTCAAGGCAGGTTCAGGAGAATGCAGGATTTTGTTAAAGATGTGATCTAGTAGAAGGGTGAGAGTTTGCAATTTGTACTGATAGAGGGTACAACAGGGCTAAAAGTGCATCTGAGCACATTTGATTTTATTGACCTGTAAACCACTAGATGGTACAAAAACTTACAGCAGCACTTATTTCCTAAACATCTGTGTCACTGGGGAAATGGGAATTTGGCTGATCTATGACACGATTGCAGGCAGCAGTGCAAAGCTGATTCTAGGCTAATTTGATTTAATATATATATATATATATATATATATATATATATATATATATATATATATATACACTATATTTTTGAGGTCCTTTTTTTCTCTTCTAAATATATTCCTTGTCTAATCTGATATTATTAATTTGCTGTATATATATATATATATATATATATATACACTATATTATTATTTATTTATTATGTTTTTGTATGTTATAAATTCATGTAGTAAATGTTAATAAAGATAAGATAAAGGACTTTTAAATAATTTTAGATAGTTAAGATAATTAGATCAACAGCTAGTAAGGTATTTGGGGTAAAAATGTCTCTACTAAAGGTACAGTAATTGACATAATAAATACTGGCTAACTTTTCCATTTGTTGACATGACATGGTTAGATTTAGATGGTAAATATAATTTAATAAGTTTGTCCACCTTAGAAATAATCACCATATTTATAATGAAACTATATCATATTTAAAAATATGAGATTAATCAAACCACGTATCAAGCTAACACATTTATCATTACTGGGCTATACAGTACACTTTATAATTTATATAAATGTTCATTTATTAATGTTAACCTCATAAAATTGGTTCTCTGATTAACCTCATAAAAGATTAACCTCTGATTAAGATTAATCTCTGATTAACCTTATATGTTAACCTCATAAAATTGGGCTCTCTGATGACTGTTTAGTTCATCTTATACCGACCTACAGGCAGAAACTGAAATCATCTAAACCTGTATTAAGGACTGTAAAAAGATGGACTAATGAAGCAGAGCAGGATTTACAAGCTTGTTTTGACCTCACTGATTGGAGCGTCTTTGAAGCTGCTGCCACCAATCTGGACGAGCTCACAGAGACTGCATCACTATAACATCTTATATCAGTTTCTGTGAAGATATGTGCATCCCTACCAGGACTCATTTAACCTACAACAATGACAAACCATGGTTCACTGCAAAACTCAGACAGCTCCGTCAGGCCAAAGAAGATGCTCGCAGGAATGGGGACAGATTCTAGTATAAACAGGCCAAATACACACTGGAAAAGGAGATCAGAGTGGCAAAGAGGAAATATGCTAGAAAGCTAAAGAACCAATTATTTTCCAGTGACCCTGCTTCAGTGTGGAAAGGTCTGAAATACATAACCAATTACAAGACACCATCCCACAGCACTGTGGAGAATCAACAACTGGCAGACGATCTGAACGAGTTTCCATGAAATCATTTGAAAGACTTGTTTTGGCTTATCTGAAGGACATCACTGGACCCTTACTGGACCTGCAGTTTGCCTACAGAGCAAACAGGTCTGTGGATGATACAGTCAACATGGGACTGCACTACATCCTGCAACATCTAGACAGACCAGGGTCTTATGTGAGGATCCTGTTTGTGGACTTCAGCTCGGCGTTTAACACTATCATCCCAAACCTCCTCCTGCCCAAATTAACTCAGCTCTCCGTGCCCACCTCCGTCTGTCAGTGGATCACTAGCTTCCTGACAGACAGGCAGCAGCTAGTGAGGCTGGGAAAATTCTCATCCAGCACCCGTACGATCAGCACTGGCGCCCCCCAGGGTTGCATTCTCTCCCCACTGCTCTTCTCTCTCTACACAAATGACTGCACATCTAATGACTCCTCTGTCAAGCTCCTGAAATTTGCAGACAATACCACACTTATTGGCTTCATTCAGGACGGTGACGAGTCTGCTTACAGACAGGAGGTTAAAGAGCTGGCTGTCTGGTGCAGTCTTAGCAACCTGGAGCTTAACATGCTCAAAATTGTGGCGATGATAGTGGACTTCAGGAGAAACCCCCCTCCTCTCCCCCCACTCACCATCATGGACAGCACTGTAACGACAGTGGAGACATTTAGGTTCTTGGGTACCACAATCTCTCAGGACCTGAAGTGGGACAATCACATTGAGTCCATTTAACACACATACTTATTTACATTTCAAATGTGCACATATCATACCTGTACATACAATATTGTCTATATTATATATTGTGTTTCTGCTTTTTTTGTACATTGTCTATTTTGTATATTATTATTTTTATTATCTGTGTCCTGTCTAGTCACTGTCATTCTGTCGCACTGTGGAGCTTCTGTCACTAAAACAAATTCCTTGTATGTGTAAACATACCTGGCATTAAAGCTCATTCTGATTCTGATAAAATGCCAGTGTGCCGCCCGCTGTTAGTCCATTAATTCAGTGAATCTCAACCTTTTGGCGTACCGAACCCCAGTCCAATTAAGAACCATCCTCAAGGACCCCCAGAACAAAATTGACTCATCTATGTATGTCTTTGTGAGGACCAAATGTAGTCAAGTATAATTCAAGTTAGTTGACCATATCATCATGGCCATATTATCAGCTATATTGGATTTTTCTTTCATGGGAACATGTCAAAATATACAAACTGTATACAAAAAGTCATACTTTATACGGACCCCCTGGCCTTACGTCAAGGACCACTAGGGGTCCACGGACCCCTGGTTGAGAAACACTGCACTAATTCATTACATTCCAACAAAAATGGTGTAGTTACACTGTAAAGGGTCCAGACTATCCAATGCAGTGAAATATTTAGTCCATAACACATTTATATGTTGATAAACATCCACGCAATGTAGTAGTAGCATTTCAAATTAGCCGACGGAGCGATCAGGTCTTTGGTGCATCCTAAATTATAGCTTGTTTTCTTTTTTCTTTTCTTTTTTATTATAGCTTGTTTTCTCATATAAACAGAACAGAATCATTGACATCAAAATGGCCGCTGACCTCTGCCCTTTTGATTGACACCTTATTTGAACCAATAGCTGTCAAGGTGTCAACAAGCAGCGATCGCCAACTAGCTTCCAGGATGAAGGATGATGCAGCCTCTCTTTGATGGACAGTAGATCGATCCAATTGCATCAGAGTTTGCAAATGACTGTCGTTTCTGATAGCCAATGAACTTCTGAAAAGATTAATATGCGGTTTTGGTGGGAGAGTTCAACATATCATGCTCAGAAGTCTGTGCGCAAAGGATTATAGGGACTTTGTGCGTCCGTGCGTAAAGAGTGCTCTGGGAGAGTTTACGGGTGAATGATGGTTTGAGGTTAAAAATACCAAAGAGAACGTGAAAAAAACAACTTGTTTGCTCTAAGTTGTTGTTGAACAATGTGTTTGGCCGGACAATAAAAGTGTTTTTAATGGAGAGAGCGATGTTTCATCCTTTGACTCAGAAGCAGAGGATCTGTTTTTGGATGGAGTTGTCACTCTCAACTAGAAAGTGTTTTATTATATTATATAATTATATATATTATACATATTTTACTGTATATATTGAGGTATGTGTTTGTTTTGAGGTGGTCCTGCTAACTTCTGTTGTGTGTGTTGCTTTTTTTTATATCACAGACAATCATCTGACATTGAATCGAGTGAAGTCTGGGAGCCAGTCAGCAAAAAAGCCATATATTGAGGGACATGATGACAGCACCTCTGAAAAAAAATCGTAAAAAACACTATATTGTGTTTATGCTTCAGTTACTATGTGTCAGCAATTATTGACAGTGAATCTGGATAAGAAATTGAATAGGTCTAAGTGTAAGCTTTCATTAGAGCCCACAATTATGACTGTACATTAAAGCATTCAAGAATTGCAGCATTTTATGTCGTTGGTTACAAAGGGTCATTTGGAGTCTCCAAGTGGCCTTTTTTGGGAAGCGCCTAGACATAAATTTAGATAAACATGTGTAAAA